AATCTTATTAGTTCTTGGCTTGCATACCAAGCTGGTGACCTGATATCTGAGATTTGAGTTTGTACTGTTTATTTTATAATTATTCACAGATTCTTATCTAAAAATAATTATTCAGTAAATTTACTAACACTTTAAAACTATAGTATCTGAGGAATAAAAAGTAAGACATCTATCAATTTACTATTAAAAGTAGCGTTAACTTTAAAGTATTGATAAAGAATTTCATTAGTAATAGTCGAAGGTTAATTTTATCTCCATATGCTGATGACAGCTGGGGTATACATTGCTGTGCAAAAGTTTTGTTCTACTGTATTGTTGTAAAATGTTATTCTACTCTTTTCACTCTGTGTTCTTCCTTTTTTATGCAGAAACACAATTCTATAGAACAATTTCAATATAATTTTACCGATTTTTCAATAATTATTAATCCTGATGGTTCTATAATTTGTCAAATGAAAAGAACCCTTTTTAGTTCTATGGAGCTTTAAGGAATAATTTATGTTAAATGTGATGAATTAGCTACTACAACACTTCAATGTGAAAACAAAATCCTAAATGGAATTGCTAAATGTTATTTCCTCTCATATAAACTAACACATTATAATATTAGATAACATTACAATAGGCTTTCCGTAAATTGTTATATTGCACATACTATACACTGCAAACCCTGCTTTTGTCTAGGATGTCTGAGAAGTTTGCACATCTGTGTACAATACATTCAGCATGTCTACAGTATGTCCTACAACAACTGTGGTTTGTCCGCTTTTCCAGCTGTCTCTAAATCACCAATTAGACTTCCAGTGTAACCTCAGTTCAACACAGCTTGGCCCATGAAAACATTTAAATTCTCAATGAAAACCTTGTGCATACTGTAATACGTGCAAGTTTTTGCTTCCTGATCATGTGTCACTGTGCTAACATTCTCACAAACATTTTATCATGCTAAAGATATTGGATAACTGTAGTAAGTAAAACATACTATAATAATATAATGACACTGTATTTGAATAAATATGGTATCTTCAGTTAAGGAATTGTTGTAGTAGAAAGCTTCATTGTAATAATTTGACCAAAACACTGTAAATGATTTTTTTTTACATTCTGTTAAGCTGCTTAATGGGTCTGATCACTTTTGTAGAAAAGGAGAAGTGGGATAGTGATTCAGTGCTGGCTATCAGGACCAACATTACTTCAACATGATTACTTCAACAAGTTTCTAAAACATTGATCTGAGGACATGCTGTACTTTAATCTTAGGAGTACTCTGCAGGTTGAATTCATGATGGAACACTGTTGTGTAAGTCATACAGCACATCGCTAATGTAAGATTCTTTAATCTAGTGATCTCTTTCTACTCTCTGCAATGAAAAATAGATATGAAGAAAGCAAGAGAATAAATCTGTTACTGTACGTTGATGGATACAGTAGGTGTAGGTGTATTTAATGGCCAAGCAGCTAACTCTAGTTAAGAAATCAATATGCCTGAAGAAAGCCATTTTGGGCTCCCCAGACCCATTAACTAAAGTAGCAATATGATTACTCTTCATTTGCTTAGCACCTGAAGCTAGGGGGATGTACAATATATGATTAAATATTTTTTGGTTATATTTAATTTAGATGTATTTATTTATCTTTATCTTTCTTTTGATGACCTGTGATATGGGAGAGTTACATACCATATTACTAATTTTTGTAGCCTTAATAATGCATTGAAAGTGACAAAATTGCTTCTTAATTGATTCACAATCTTACTAAATCCCCCATTATGAAATAAATATCATGTGAATTAATAAGCAGGATTACAATGGTAATATTACATTTTTGTAACAGACAAAGATAATTAAATACAAGAATCTAATACCAGTTCACATCATACATATAATCCCTCATACAGTACATATAATGTTCTGAGAGGTTAGCTGAAGCACATTCATAACTTTAAATGGATTTTGATAGCTATAGAAACTTGAAAATGGTGAAATGTTTTATTATTTGGGGTCTAATTACTTCAGACTGTCTGATCTTCCCTAATCCTAAATCCTGAAAAATATTGTATGAATTATATTTTGTTAATCAGTTCTCTACTTATATTTTATGTGATATAGTTTTTGTTCATTTAAAAAAAAAGATATCACTCCAAAATGATTACCTCATCTTTCTCATTTCTAAGCACTTGAGAAAGGTGTTCACCACCATTTGTCTGCCTAGGAACACTCCTGAAATTAACTCTCAACAGTTTCCTCTGGTGGTGCCATGTACAGTATCTGTAAACACTAGGACTGCAGCATCTTCAATCAAACTCTAGTGTCTTATCAAAATGCTGTAGTTGTGCAAACTACACATATAGATGGCTTATTTTTTTCTATCTTGCTTGAAACTGTTATCACCAACACTGCAATTCTTAAATTGCTTTGAAATCTACCTAATTGGTTTTGATTACCCTGTAGGTCATCTAGTTTTGTCTTATAACCAAGACTGTTAAAAATGTATAATAAAATACTGTACATAACTGATCCACGGGGGAGGGTGAAAACTTATAGAGTGGAGTTTAATTAGCACCCACTTGAGAAGATCAGATTAGAGGCACTTTTTATTTAACCTCATTCTTTTGCAAGCACTCATATTCATGATTGTGTTCAGTATTAGGTGTAGGATATAAAAGACGGTGTAGTACTGCAGTGAGTGGCTACACCAGTGTGAGTGAATGGCTGTCTGCCTGGAGCTCTTTGTACGAGAGTGGAGATTTTACTTTCTTTGACACATGTTTTGGGAAAAATATTTTGGGTTTGGAGATTTCAACTAAGACAACTTTGACTTGACTGACCCTAAGTATCACCATACAAATGAGGTGGGGGGTTCAAAGGTGATTTATAGGACAATTGGTTCCAACTTTGCTGGAAATTATTGCCAGGTATAAATACTGTACGCCAGTCAAGCAAAAGACAATACACTGTAGGTGAGGAATACAGAATCGTGTAAAAGCAGAAGGTGACATGCAACATTGACTCAGAGTTCCAAGATCTTCAGTTCAATTATAGTAATTTGTCTATGTGGAGTATGCGTTGAAATCCTCCATTTTCTGAGGCATCCTGGGAATGTTTGATTGACTACCTATTGATTGATAGTCTCTTGTCGATTACCCTTGCAATGGACAAGTGTTTCATCCATATCATGTGATCTCAGTACCGTTTGTGCCCTTTGATTTTGGAATAGGCTGTGGTTTCATCAGGATGAACAGCTTTCTGATATACTGAACATATTCACTTAAAAAATTGGTTTGGGATGGGCTTTATCCAGAAAGGAAGAAATAAAAGTGTAAATGTTGTACCTGGGAAAGATCTTTGAAATCTAACCTACAGTATATATACCTATGCATGTAAATCCAGCTTTCTCTCTGTAAAGTCCCTAACCTACAGTATCTTTGTGTGAACAATTTTCATTTGCATTTTGTTCTAATGACTTTAAAAAAATAAATAAATAGCATATTACCATTATAGGTAATATACAATTGTATTACTATTGTATATGCTAGTAAAATGCATACCTGCATTCAAGTAGTGAGTTTTAGAAGGATATTGGAGCCTGTTTTTGTAGTTTTCCAAATGGAAATCATTGCTTATGTATCATTTTATGAATCCCTTAACCTGATTATCACTTTAACTTCAATCCTTTAATCCTGATTATCATTGTTATTGTAATCATTTGTATATTTATTTCATTCCAGTTTTGTTGTACTCAACTCTGCAATATTTCTGCCCACCCAAATTTAAAGAACCCCTGACCATTTATTTATTTATGTACAAGCTATTAAGATATATTAGACAAATAAAACAAAGAACAATATACAATATGCTGCATTAAGAATATGGAGGCTTGCATTTCATGATAATTCTAAATATTTAGTTATGGATATCACATTTAACAAAGATGTAGAGGTTTTGTGAAATTATTATTTTCGTGTTCTTAATGCAACATACAGTTTATAAACATGTATTAACAATTCTCCAGCTGGTGTAGTTGAACAGGTACACCAGGTGGCACCAAAATAGTGGTGTACAAGCTTTAGATATACCCCTTGATCTAATCGTCTTAGTAAACCCTCCTCTGTTCTCTTTTCTTGAATAGAGGGTAGTGGTGATGCATTCCCAACATCATTTGCAAGTGAAACACTTCCAGAGAAATTTAAAGGTGGCTTGAATATTTCATTCTGAATTACAATATATTTCAATATATACACTTTAAGATGTGACCACTATAGCAAAATATAGCAATGTGGTGTTCATTATGTATCAAACTAATAACATAATAAAACTAGTTACATTAGTAACTAATAACATCTGATTTGGATTGCATTTGGTGTGTTAATCTCATTTCAAGATCATTTCCAATACCAGAAATCAATTTCTAATTCTCACTCTTGTATCTGCGATTATTACAATATTATCTCTGAATACAGATAACAGTTTGCAAACCTTGTTTGCTTAATATTTAACTTGCCCTGTCTGCTTAAACAGAAAGTCAGTTGTCCACACAATTCAATTTATGCCCTGAATTTATACTGAAAATGAGAATATGTTCCAAATTGATCTTACCTGATTACAGCAAAAGAAACTGGTTCTGTGAAAGCAGGAGAATAAAAAAAATATATTGCAGGATTATCATCAGAAATATCTATTTGGGTTTCCAGAGAAACAGTCTTTGGAATGGCACAAAAACCAAATCACTATCTGTGTGGGTAATAAACTAGAGATGCTATTACTGTAACTTGCCCTATTAAAGCAGCTATACTAAAGCTAAAGGGGAGAACATTAGAAAAGGCAGTATCAGTTTTTTTTTAATACAGTGGGCTTTCTGACTCTCTTCTACCTACTTGTGCAGTGGCTATAAATGAGGCATGTGGTAATGTGACGGTGCCTGTACTGGGGTGTGTGCATGTGTAAGTGTGTGTCTGTGTCTCTGTGCAAGTGTTCTCATAGAAGCAAAAGCTTGAGGACTCAGTTATACCGTCACTGGGAATTCACTGGCAATTTTGTGAAGCTACAGTAGGAATAAATTAATGCTACTATGATGTTTCACATGGCTGTTTTATCTTATTTATTTCTTCTGACTACAATGACAGGTAAGATTTAAAAAAAAAAATAATACCAAATAATAATCATCATGTCTTCACCTGAACATTCCATGAAAAGGTAAAATAGATTTATTTGAATCAGCTCAAATGCATTGTCATTAGTACTGGCATTGAAAAGAAGGCACAAAAGAAAGATACAATAACAGTAATTTTACCAGTAATACTTTGGGTTTTTCTATGCATTGAAATGTTTTGCACTGTTTATATACAGTAAGTGAGCAGATTTGTGACTTTGTTAATAATATAACCAATGATATTGTCATACACGCCTGGTAAAATTCTTTTGAAATAATTTATGCCGTACTGCTATATACTGTATAAACAAGTTCTTTAACATATTTTGCCACGGGAGTCTTTTTGCTGATGTTTTATGTTTAGATACTTCGATGAGACAAAATATTTAACCTTCATAATACCATAAAAGATTCGCAAAAAATATTGAAATAATAAAGAATAACTGTATTAGAGGAAGTATTTAAGTAGACTTCAAAAGAAATTGGTAAAACAATGTTTATAAAACAGAATGGCACTTTCAGAAAACCACCGTAATATTATAGACATTACATCACAGGCACAACTAATTTGTTAAGAAGATCTGAAAACTCCTTTTAGCCAACTAGAAAGCAAAATTAGCAATCCAGTGATGTATACATTTCTATAGTTTGATTCAACACTCAACATGTACTGTATTTCAAAAATTAATTTACAGTATCATGATTTACTTATGCATTCCATTAATTTTTGGGAGGCACCAATAAATATACCCACAAGGTAAGGAACTTTCATAAATATTATAATATTCAAGAATATGTTATGAGCATCAGTGGCTTTATGTATCATCAAGCACTTGTTTTATGTGAACTAACAGCATCGCAATTGAAAAATAATATTGTTGCAAATGTCATTGATGTAATGATGTTGCTCATTATAACTTAAAATTCCTCTCTCAAAGACACAGCTTGAATTGAATGCGACTGCAAAAAATGTATGTGTTTATGCCATTTTTAAGTGCTTTCGTAAAGCTTTTTTTCATAGCATATTTTCTCAAGAAGTAATGAATGAGTTATTTTGGGATTTCTAATCTAACTTATATCCTAACGAATTTCATCAAATTTGAGGAGCTGTACTACTGTATAATTCACCTTTGGTATTAAAAGGATGTTTGTCTATAACAAAAATCTTGCTTTAATAAGAAATGCATACTTTACAATTAGCCTTTGAAATTATATATATATATTTATTTATCCTGAGCTCCTTTTGTATACCTATTTGACAAAAAACAAAACATTGTACAATTAGATCATGTGAATAGAAAGCTCCATTTTGACTTCCAGGAGAAGTTGCAGACATGACCAGTGCTATTTGGAGTATCCTTGGATGACAGAGGAGACTATACTGTATAATTATAAATATATATGATATTACATAACCTTATAGAAACAGCCCAGTTTCTAACATACCAGACATAGAAGACTTTGGTTTTAAAAATAAAAAAGATATATATACTATATCTGCACAGTGTGCTAAAGGGATATGGATTGCTATTTCCACAAATGTCCACTTGCTAAAAGAAGTAAAATTACTTTCACTCCTTTTCCTCAATTCCATTTCTCAGTGCAGAAACAGTATCTGTGCATTCTGCAAAGAGTGATTTTGAAACAATCCCATGTTATTGATGATCGGCTCTCAGCAAACAGAGGTGCTTTTGATTGCCTACTTGAATTAACATTTGAACAGTTAAAGGCACGTGTAAATGTAATTGTCCGAATGTTTTTATTTCTGTGGATTAATAATCCAAGTGGCCCGCAATCTGGTTGTATCATAGCTCTAGGATTCCGTGTTTGATTCTGTCTGTATGAAAGTTGAATGTTTGCATAGGTTTTCTCCAACATCCCAGTGATGGCATTAGGTAGCATTGACTGCATATTCTAAATTATCCTTATTTGTGGCCCATACTGTATATTGTCTAGCATTTCATCTAGAGTGGAGAGTAATTAGTCAAAGTTAGTCAGTTGATTGTGTCAGTCAAAGTCAAATTAAATAACAGTGCAGTAACTCCTGTTTACACCTTAGATCCATTGAAGAAATAAATCCTTTTTATAGTAAATGAAACATCTTGAAACATCTTAGATTTAGGTAGATAATATTTGCTAATGTTGGAAACAACAAATTTTATTACAAATTACAAATTCAAGAATAAAGGTTGTTATATTACAGTAGTGAACAAAATTAAATAATAAATCTTTTGAATTAAATTAGAATTTAAGAATAAATTATAGATAATAACTAATTATTGCTTATTAGTTATGGCTAAGACACTTTTAATATAAACTTTCTTAAATTCTCCGTCGCTTAAGAAGAGATGCAAACAATACTAAATATAATAACTGAAGCCTCACACCATCCAGACTTTCAATTATATCATATAAAATCTAATAAGCAGTAAAATGTACTCTACCGCTTGTCATTTGTGAAATCAGAAAACAGTGAGAGTGCTAAATTTGTTTTATGGAAAGCTCTAAACAGCCAGGCAAATTTTATAAGAAATACTGACAATGGATTATCAGAGAAATTAAATTCACTTTGCTGAATTATCAAAGCTTAAACAACTGAAATGGAAATAATTGGGTGCCTATTCAAAGCATTCAGGCATTATTTCAGTTTCAGGATACTTTTATCTGTAGCTTTCAAGCTACTTTTAATTCTTCAGATCTGCCTTCAGGTAAATCAATGCTACTTTAATTCAATACTACAGGTTTTTAGTTTGAGATTACATTGAGGTGCCTTTTGTTTGGACAATGGTGAGTCTGGCACCCCAGTAGTAATTATTGGTTATAAGACAAGTCTAAAACTATAGAATAAACTGTATACACATTGATGACTAGAGCACTGGAAACATAATTGATTGCATTAGGCCTGAAATTGAAAATGAAATTGAAAGCAACAGTTTTAGATCAAAAGATCAACTAAACACTTTCCTTGGAATTGGAGAAGTCTGGAAATGGGCAAAGAGTTAAAACAGTAATTCACACCACAATCCTAACTTCTTGTAGTTTGTGCACATTTGTTTTTCAAGACATTGTTTCCATTTAGTACATTTAATTTCTCAGATTCTTTAGGACTTGAAAGAAAATGCAGTCCAATACAAAACATATGCATTGGTTCCTATTTTATTGCGATAATTTATTTTGCAAATGGAAATGCAAGACTTTTTGAATGATTGTGTGGCGCAAATGAGATATGTACTGCAGTATATACAGTAGAGTAAATTTAACACATTATGTTCATTATATTCTGTACAAAAGCCATAAATTGATAAAAGATAAAAGATTCATAAAAGAGTCCAATTGAATCCTTCAATACCAGTCTTGGACTCCTGTTTCAGAAACTCACAAGTCTTTGTATAAAATGATTCATTTTCTATGGTTTGTTCCCCCGTTTGTGAATTACGGTTCTGTTCTCTGTAGTGTCAGTTGAAATGTCCTGGTTAAAGCTCTAGAATTGTTGATTTCTTTAATGACAACTTGGAAAAAACACAGGTATTCTTCTTCTTAGTATTCTTCTTAGTTTAAAATATCCTAGTCCCTGCAATACTTCAGTGTCTGTTATGCTAAATTACTCAGTACTGATGGTGTTTTTTCCATAACCTGTTTCTTGTTATAGAAAGTATACATTTTATGTCTCTCTTGGCAATACTTAATATTTTTCTAGTACTACATAACTAGACTAATGTAGTGCGCTAGGTAATCCCAATTGCAATAACCAAGAACTACCACATAGTCCCCAGGTGCAAAGTAAAATCAGGGTGAATTGCATAGCTACTGACTTCAGCTAATGGCCGCTACTGCTTAGATGTTCCAGAAACTATAATAATATTATTATATTAAACTATATTAATATTGTAACGCAACGGGGGCTCAGGCGGGCGCCCTTGCCACATTAGGTTGGCCCCCCACCGTCGGGGGCTCGAACCCGGGACTTCCGCGACCCAGCCCGTTGAGCCAAAGAGAGATCTCTTTAGAGCCCAGTAGCTGTGGTCCTGCTATCACAGGGAAGGGCGGTGACGTCACCTGCTCTGGTACGCCGGCTCTTACACAGTGCCTGTCGGCCGTAAGCGTTACACTCTCCCCCGCTTAAATCGCCGTCCCCGGCGAAGGGCTATCCCATCCCACTCTGACACCAATGTATCGCAATGGGGGCTCAGCCGGGCGCCCTTGCCGCATTAGGTCGGCCCCCCACCATCGGGGGCTCGAACCCGGGACTCCCGCGTCTCTCTGCAGTGACCCAGCCCCGTGAGCTAAAGAGAGATCTCTATACAGCCCAGTAGCTGTAGTCCTGCTATCACAGGGAAGGGCGGTGACATCACCTGCTCTGGTACGCCGGCTCTTACACAGTGCCTGTCGGCCGTAAGCGTTACAATATTATGTATTATTGTACTCATTATTGAAGTCTGTCAATTATTTGAAGGGACTTTTTATGTATTAATTAATGTTACCAATTATAAAAATACTTCAAGAGCGTTCGGAAAATGCCATTCCATTATCCAACTTTGTATATGAACAAGAGAAGTATTGCACTCACCTTTCTTGATCAGTTTATATTACTAAAATGCTGTGTGATGGAACTGGTTTGTACTGTGAGGTCTGAAGAGGGTCTTCATCTGTATGCTACCCCGATGGTCTGCAGATCCTCAGCTCTGAAGTTTATTTCAATAGTTACTAAATGTTGTACGCAACTGAAAATGGTCCAATGATGCATAATCTAGTGCATCTAACTGAAGTTAGGCATGTTTGCAGCATACTAATGTCAAATGTTCTGACTCTAATAGAACTGACTCTAATTGAATTTTCAAAATATTCAAAAACATATACTGTATACAAATATAATGCACAGTCTATGATACAAACAATGTATATTGTGCTTACAAATCTCAAATTCTATTACTCTGCCTCTGCAGTAGCCCTTGTTTTTATCATACTTTGGTTTAA